TCTCTCTCTCTCTCTCTCTCTCTCTCACACACACACACACACACACACACACACACACACACACCATACAAACCTGTACACACACAATACATACACACAGATCATACATACCTCTATACACACATGCCACATATACACACCATATCTCTCTCTCTCTCACACACACACACACACATACTTGTGCATATGCATAAGTAAATAAATAAAATAAATTACAAATAAATGATAGAACCTATGTTTTAATAAAAGCAGATATACTGGTCATGACAACACTGTAATCTTAGCATACTGAAGACAGTAGCAGAAGATTGCCAAGTTCAAGGCCAGCCTGGTCTCTACAATGAAAGCCTGCCTCCAAAGCAAATGCTTTTATCCCAGCACTTCTAAAGAGTGGATTCCAGATGTGGAAGGTCTACTTGCCTTCCAAAGTATTACACCAGCTTACATTCCCACTGCAAGGGGTCTAGGGCCCCTCCACCCTTACCAGCAGTGGATGCTTTCCTATATGCCTGGTCATGTGACCAGCAGAGGGGACTCACTATTCAGCAGCCCTTTGTAATCACTAGCTGAGCTCGATCTTAGACTCATGTTCACAGCTCCTTGGGAGCAGGTTGTTTCTCATCTTTTAAAAAATTGTCTAGCCGGGCGGTGGTGGCACATGCCTTTAATCCCAGCACTCAGGAGGCAGAGCCCGGTGGATCTCTGTGAGTTCGAGGCCAGCCTGGGCTACAGAGTGAGTTCCAGGACAGGCACAAAGCTACACAGAGAAACCCTGTCTCGGAAAACAAAACAAAACAAAAACAAAACAAAAAAACCCAACAAACAAAAAAACCCACCACCAACAAAAAACGAAACAAAAACAAAAAAAAAATTGTCTAGAAGGGCTTTGCTATGTTGCATGAGCAGGTCTTTCACACTTCTGGACTCCTGGAGTCTCAGCCTCCTAAGCCCTGGAGTTAGGGGCTGTGTCCACTGAGTGACACACACATGGGCACTTATGGATCTCAGCTGCCACCACCAAAACCTTCCACTTGTCTTTAAATTCACCTAAAGTCTCTTGTACCTCACAACTTACTTTTCATTGTTTTTACAGCCAAAGCGGTCTTCTGATTAGGCCACTGATGGATGGCTGCTGCTTCCAGAGTTGCAATTGGGATGCAGAAAGATACAGGAGGAGATTGGGATGGTTATGAGGGTAAGGAAGATCTTTAAAAATTGATGTTTCTTAAAGGTAAGATAGGCTGGAGATGGAACCCTCCACCAAGAGAGGACATGATGGATGGATGAGAGAAGCAGGAGGAGACTGCCCTCATCAGTTCTAACAGGTCCGTTGGAAAGTCCCCTGGCTTCCCAGGTGTGTAAAACAGATCACCTGATACACACCTGGAGGGCATCACAGCTCATCAGGCAAGTGACACTGAGCAGCATCAAGATGATGGCCTTTGGGTAAGGCAGGGGCTGAGACAGAGAGGTGGAGAGAGGGGACTGAGAATAGAGCGTGTGTTAGGGCTGTCCGGAACATGTTCCATGGATCCATAGTCTTTATTCCAGCTTCTTGTAGGAGTGTTTCTAGTATTTCGGCTGACGGCTCCTGTGTCCCCTGGGGGCTGCATGAAGGGCTCATCGGTAAGAACACCTGCTGTTCTCGCACCTGAGTTCGGTTCCCAGCACCCACATCAGGCGGCTCTAACCACCTGTAACTCCCACATCAGGCGGCTCTAACCACCTGTCACTCCTGCTCCAGAGGACCTGACACCCTCTTCTGGTCTCTGTGGAAACCTTCACTTTTAAAACTTAAAACTATTTTTTATCCTCTGACAGTTACTTACTCTCTCTCTCTCTCTCTCTCTCTCTCTCTCTCTCTCTCTCTCTCTCTTAAAATTAAATCATTTTTAAAACTTTGAAAAAATCATGTCTGCTATAAGTATCATATTAACAAATTTCCTTTTCTTCCCCACCCAGTCTACAGAGGAGGCTCTGGCTCTCTCTCTCTCTCTCTCTCTCTCTCTCTCTCTCTCTCTCTCTCTCTCTCTCTCTCTCTCTCCAGAAGTACACATTTTTTTAAAAAATGAGCTACTGACATTTCCTGGAATGGTTGCATAGTTCTTTTTTCATTTGTAAATCGATTTGCCTTTCTGTGATAAGATTCATCTTGGTGTGGAATGAGTTCACAATATCCCATTCTGGAGGGGCATGTGTTGGAGAAGTCATGACCAGTGAGAGGGGGATGTTGGGGTAGATATGATCAAGACACGTGGTGTGTGTGTGTGTGTGTGTGTATGTGTGTGTGTGTGTGTGTGTGTGTGTTTATCAGAGGATAAAAAAACTAGTTTTAAAGAGTTCTCGCATCTTTTTTCTTGCCTTGAGATGGAGATGAAGGCGGTATTTCTATGGAATTTTCAGTATTTGTACCTCTTCCTTAGTTCAAGGTTAGTTAGCTATTATTTTCCCAGAAAAGTATGCACTATTGAAATTTTCCATGAGGTTCTTTTCTTCCCTCTCATTCCTTCGCTCCGTTCCTCCCTCTCTTCCTCTGGTCCCACTTCTAAAACTGTGTGTGTGATGCCAGGTAGCACATTTCTGCAGTCTCATCTACTTGAGAGATTGACGCAAGGTGTCTTTGCCTGTCACTCAAGGCCAGTCTGAACAACAGAGTGAAACCCAAATGGGGAGGGGGTGAAGAGGGAGAAGGGGAGAGAGGGAGGGAGGGAGAGAGAGAGGAAAAGAAAGTATGCGTATGCATACGTGTGTGTGTGTGTGTGTGTGTGTGTGTGTGTGTGTGTGTGTGTGTGTGTGTGTGTGTTTCTATGCTTTATTACAAAGGAGGTAGAGAATGTACACATGTGATCTCCGGGGGTGGTGGTGGAGGCTCTGAATCACCTGTTTTGTGGGTGTCAGGTTTAAATGTAA